TTCGGGTTTAGGGTTTTTGGGGTTTTGGGGTTTTGGGTTTAGGGGGATTAGGGTTTAGGGTATAGGGTTTAGGGTTTAGGGTTTAGGGCGTTTTCAGGGGTTGATAAGGGGGTTGATAAGGGGTCCTCCAAGGGTCTTTAAGGGTGTCAGAAGGAGTCTGTAAGGGTTCGGTAAGGATTTTAGAAGGGCCTTACAGGGTGGGTTTGGGTTTAGCTTCTGGGAAGGGGGCTTCAAGGCTTTGGGTTTGAGGCTTCAAGAAATGAGGGTTTGGGTTGAGGGTTACAGGAACGAGGGTTCAGGGCGGGTCATTTCATAGTGCTGAGGCGCGTTTGACAGCGGCGTCCGGGGGGCAACTGATTCCTTCAGGGGTTCTTTGAGGGTGTTCGTATGGTGGCTCTCGAGGGTTCCTGCAAGGTTCTATAAGTTTTAGGGCTGCATAGGGATTGCGGGTTTGGGGGTCTCTGCGTGCTATCGCTCCTTTGAGGCGTCCTTGCAGGGTTTTTGGAGCGTTCTACAAAGGGTTCCTGTGAGAGTTCGAGAGGCATTGAAAAGGACGATTATGCAAGTTCTGGGGGAATTAGCTGTCGTCCTCAGCAGCACCAGCAGCAGCAGAAGTTGCAGAAACTTTTCATTCAAGGTCGGACGAGGCTCGTCAGAAGTTGTCCAGCCTTTCTTCTCAAACGAGAAGCGAGGTACCGAAGTCCCAATTCTTGCTGACTACCTCCCCGTTGATGGAAGCTGCACTCCAAATCATAAAGCCTTAGGCCTTCCGCCGAAACCAGCCAGTCCCCCAGGTGCGACTCCTGCAAATTCGCGCTCAAGGTGGACGGGTCAGGGTTTCGGGTGCTTTCAGAAAGAGTCCCTAAACCCCAAAACCCCAAAATCCCCAAACCCAAAACCCCTAAACCCAAAACCCCTAAACCCCTAAACCCCTAAACGTAAAGCCCCTAAACCCTAAGCCCCAAAACCCTAAAACCCGTAAACCCCTAAACCCTAAACCGTCATGGTTTCCCGTGATGGCTGGCTTTTCAACAGATGCGTCTGATCGGAAGCTTTGGCTTGAAAGCATTTCGCTCTTATGAGCGGATGCTCGATGTGATTGGTCATAGGGTTTAGGGTTTAGGGGTGACTGGTGACTAAAACTCGGTCATGAGTATGCTTGTCATGGTGGCTGCTAGACATATGATGCTTCTTATCTGCCCGCGAGTTCCCGTTTATTCTTGTTCTGCTACTGCTACTGTTACTTCTCGGCGACTACTACCACGACCACTGCCACGAGCACGACCCTTACTCTTGAATGGTCAAAACTGGTTGATGAAAGCTGAAGCTTTGTATTTGTACGGGCTTGTCATTGTCTGTATGTGACTATGCTTATTATGTACCTATCGGTCTGTGTATTGCATAGAGTCAGAGTCAAGACATCACCGGAATTTCCTAAACCCTAACAGCCCAAAACCCTAAACTCTAAGTTTTTTAGTGCAGAGCTCCTAAACCCTAAGCTCTTCAACCCGAAACCCAATGCCAGGCAGATGGCGAGCGCAAGTTCTTCGTTTTCTGGGCCAGCGGCTCTTCAAAGGCGGGAAGGGATGTAGGAGTTCGCCCTCAGCCCTAAGCCCTAAACCTTAAAGAAAGGTTCCCAGTTTAGGGAACTATAAGGGTTCCTACAGGGCTTTCTAGAAAAGGCTTCCTACCAGGGGTTCATGCGTTTTCGTACACGAACTCCAAACCCTATGGGGGCCCGTTTTGTTTTAACCCCCCATGAACCCCTGGCTGCTCAGCCGCAAGAAAGTCCGTGCCTAACGCATTTTTTGATGCAGGGGCCGGTAATATGGGTAATATAGGGGCCTAAAGAATTGCCTATAGTAGTAGGGGGCTCCTTATCAAGAATGCAGTACAATATACCCCAAAACCCTATTCTGATTCTTCTACGGCCCCTATATATTTGCTCTTTACCCTAAACCCTAAACCCTAAACCCTATTCTGATTCTTCTACGGCCCCTATATATTAGCTCTTTCCGTTAGGGCCCTTTTTTTTGCAGTTATTGCCGAATCCGAAGGTCGGTGCGTGGACCGTCCAACCAGGGACCGGGCATGTGGAACCTTTGTTGGTGAGGCGTGCGTGTGGATTTTCAGGGTTTGTTCAGGGTTTAGGGTTTGGGGTTTAGGGCCGTGTTAGGGTTTGTAGGGTTTTTTCAGGGTGTCCTTCTTCGGAGCGCTGCGGTCGGTTCTGAGGGTTCTTCCGCTGGTTTGCCGGGATATAGGCCCGAAGCCTCTACAAGACCCGCATTCCGGCCAAATTTTGGGGATTAAGGTAACCCTAGGGCTCCAGTTACCTAAATAGTAGGTTACCGGGGTACATAATGTATGGTTAGTAACCTACTATTTAGGTAACTGGAGCCCTTGGGTAAGGGAGTCAAAGCGGGACGAGGATTCTGGGTGTTCTGGCCCGTAGGACTTTGGGGATTCATGGTGCTACCATGTCTTCGGATCCTTCCTGGATAGGGAAGCCGTAATTATGGGGTTCTTGGGAGTTTGTTTTTGGGGTGTTTTTTTTTCCCTAAACCCTAAACCCTAAGCCCTAAACCCTAAACCGTGTTGTGTATAGCTGGTTCTAGGAGGCCAGGTTGAGGGCTTGGGGTCTTGGGGATGTCAGGGTTCGGAGCGGAGGGCTTCCTCTGTAAGGTACGGGGCCTTATGGGGATGAAGGGCTTTTCAGTGGAGGCCTCGGCGAAGACTTGAACATCGAAGGTCTGGATGAACCTCTTACCCCAAATCCCAGGTTCCAACCATCCCAGACAACCTTGACAAAAGAGCCGGAGGGACGCAGTTCACGAGTCAGGGCGTACTGGGTTTGGCCACCAATCCCGACCTCCTTGCGTAGCAGGCACGATGCAGCGAGTCGTTTGACACTTGACATTCGTCACACCGCCCCCCCATAGTGCCCACGATGATGTCAGCACAGCCCTGTGTGCCAGGATGAGGGACTCTCTAGAGCAAACATGACCTTCTGCTGCGTGTTGGAATGTGTGATGCCCTGCAGTCGCCACGGCCTTGGGTTTAGGGTTCAAAGTAGCCAGCTGCCTGAAAACGGGTCCTTGCCACTGCAGGCTTGTGGACATGGTGGGGCAAACAGCCCTAAACCCCCAAACCCTAAACCCAAAACCCCCAAACCCTAAACCCGGCTAGTGCATGCCGATAGACACCCGTTCTGCAACGGTGAACCCAAAGCTTCAATGAGGAGTCGGAGTCAGGCCACTGGAACTAGCCACCTGAGCAACAGCAGCTAGAGAGCTACGACAGGACCCCTGGATATAATGTAACATAGTAGAATGAATCCTAAACCCTAAACTCTAAATCATGTACATAATATAACCCAGTGAAATACCAACTTTTCAAGTTTGCATGAGTCTCACAATGCTGACGCACCCAGCAGGTTCGGACAGGAGCAGCCCAACTTTCCCAATGGACTTTCCATCATCGACGCTGAGGACCCCATACTTTGCAGAGGTACAGTTGCAGTGTTGCAGCGGGCAGAAAATGAAGAGGGTATAACCCTAAACCTTAAAAACTCTAAACCCTAATATAAGGCTTCGGGGTAAGATAGCGGGTTGCTTTTTTTTGAGGATCATGAGTTGCCGTGCTCCGCGCAGTGAAGACCTGTCACTGCCTGAAAACGCCCCTCTCAGCAGATATTCCTTGTAACCAGTACCCTAATCCCCCAGGTACCTACTATATAGGGTACTAGAGCCCCTAAGGCCCTATATGGTAGGTACCTGGAGGGTTAGGGGTAACTTTTAATGACTTTCAGTTTCAACCGAAGCGGTTATTGACCATGCAATTCATGTTTGGATTCACGGGGCTTATAGTCTATTCACCGCCACGCAACCGGCGAACAGGAGCGACTTCCTGAACCTCCAGCTTGAAACCACATGCCTTTAGCCCAACCCTAAACTCTAAACCCGTAACCCCTAAACCGAACACCCCCTAAAACCCCTGAAGCCCAGGAGGTGCTGCTGATCACAGCTGAGGAGGCCGCCAAGTGCCTTCCCGGCCGCTTGGATCAGGGTGCGCGTAAGTTTAAGAGCTTCGGTGCCTGACAAGGGTTTAGTTTAGGGTTTAGGGTTTCGGGTTTAGGGTTTAGGGTTTAGGGTTCAGTTTAGGCTTTAGAGTTTCGGCTTAAGGTTTCCTCCAGGTGTTATAGGGTTTCATATCCTGTGGCTTGTTCAGTGCCCGAAGCCGGAAGAACCCTACACCTGAAGTCACTCAACTCGAACGACCCCAAACCCCCAAATAGTTTTTTCGCCCTCAGCCCTGACTGAAGCGTGCACGCCAAGCCGCAAAGCCTTGAGCCGTGGTCTAGGGGTCTGTACTTTGTTAAACATGAACGTATTCAGCCTATCATGCCCATATCAAAGGCCGATCTGCCACCACAAATTAGGTCCTTTGGAAACCCTAAGCCATGAAGCCTAGACCCCCAAAATGCGCCCAAACCCTCAACCATACACCCCAAACTGGCAAAATGCTCCAAGCCCTAAAAATCCGAAGCCCTAAACCCTAAACAAAAAAATCTAAAACCGCAATCGCTGAGTACTGAAACCCAAAGCCTGAAACCCCGAAACCCTCAGCCAACCCACCTAAACCCTAGATCCTAAACCCTAAACTCCATCAAACCAAAAACCCTCACAAACCCGAAACTCCCTCAAACCCAAAAGCCAAACTCCAAGTTCTCTAACCCAAAAAACTCTTATAAGCCCTAAACTGCACTCCCTCAAACCCTAAACTCAACCCAAAAAACCCCTTATAAACCCTAAGTTCCCTCAAACCCTAAAGCCCTTATAAACCTTAAGCTCCCTAAAACCCTAAACTCCCTAAACCCTAAACCCTAAACCCTAAAACCCTAAACCCTAAAGCCCTGAACCCAGGACCCGGTCCGGCGCAGCCTCGATCCCAGAGAGGTTTACTGGCCTTCGACTTGCACCCCAGCCGAGCAGTAGGGGTTTTAGGGCTTCGGATTTTAGGGTTTTGGGGGCTTTAGGGGTTGAGTTTAGGGTCTAGGGTTTAGGGTTTAGGGTTTAGGGTTTAGGGAGCCGAGCGAGCAGGGTGCGTAGGGTTTTCAGGGTAGAGGTTTAGGGAATCAGGGCTTTAGGGTTATAGGGGTTCCGGAGTTCAGGGTTTTAGGGGCTTTAGGGTTAACTCTAGGGCTTTAGGGTTTAGGGCTTTAGGGCATTAGGGTTGAGGGTCTGTACCAGGGCTCAGGGTTTAAGGTTCTGGGGCTTAGACTTAGGGTATAGGGATGGCACTGTGCAGGGAACATGGGATTCTTTATGGGCTTCAGGGTTTCGGGGTATTGGGCATCAGGGTGTAAAGTTTTTTTGAGGGCGACTTAGCCAAGAGGATCGACACGGAAGTCTGTACCCGCCCTCCCCCCCATTAGTGCCTTTATTGTGGAACCATGTTCGTTTGTGCTCATTGTTGATATTGACCAGAATTGTCCTTTATCGTGGTGCCCCTAAACCCTAAACTCCTCAACCCTAAACCCTAAGCCCTAAACCCCCTAAAGTACTACTTCCAGGAGCCATTATGCACAGACTGCGGCATAGGCAAGGTCTATTCTTGGAGAACCTGCAGCTCGAGGATTCTCGATTAACCTTCCCTGAGACCCTATAAAACCTATATTCCTACCTTATAAGCCCTAAAACGTATACATCCTTAACCTTAAACCCCTAAACCCTATAAACCCTATAAGCCCGATAAACCCCAAAACCCCTAAATCCTAGAAGCCTCTAAACCCTACATCCCAAACCCTGCAAACCCTATAAGCCCCTGAACCCTATAAGCACCTAAACCCTATAAACCCTACAAGCACCTAAACCCTTTAACCCTGTAAACCCTAAGCCCTATGAGCCCCTAAACCCTAAGCCCTATGAGCCCCTAAACCCTAAGCCCTATGAGCCCCTAAACCCTTGACTGAAAGTTGAAGTCGAGGCTGCTGGATTTCGGCAAGGCCCCCTCCTCGCTGCTTGCGGCGCGGCAGGCGCGCTTGCAGGAGACGCTGTCGGAGGCTTCCGAGGTCTCCGGGGTTTGAACGGTTTAGGGTTTAGGGTTGAGAGTTAAGTGCCCTGATCCCTAAACTCTAAACCCTAAGCCCATGTTTAGTGTTTCGGGTTTAGGGTTCAGTGTTTAGGGTTTAAGGTTCAGGTTTTAGGGGAGGTTTGGAGCTGACATGGGAAGCGAAATCCCCCCAAACCCTACAAGCCCTAAGGTCTTTGGAGTGGGAGCTGGCAGTGGAGTTACAACCTGAAAGCCTCAAAACCTATAAGGGTAATTTTCTCAACTTGGGTCACTTTTCCGGTCCTTTTGTAAAAGGGTGTCGTACTCTATTCAAAAACCTCAAAGGGGCCCTAATTTAGAGAACGACCTAGGAGGGAAGCCGATATGGAATTGGATCATCGCAGCAGCACGTGCTCTTGCTTCCTGGTTACTGGGCAGCTAAGGAGGCAAGTATGTTGAAGCTCTGTTTCAAATAATAATGATATCCCCTTAAAGGCTGTTAAACTTAGTAGCTGAGTGAGTACACTTTACACTTTTTGGGATAATATGATCCCTTATAGAACTGAAAGTGTACACTTTTTGGGGCTTATGAACTCCTTACTGCCCGATGCATAGCCCTAGTCTGCCTCTAAAGGCCCCTAACTTTATCAAGATGCGCCTTCTTTGCCCCAGGGCTACTATAGTAGCCGAGATACGGTTGATGGACAAAATCCCGCATGACCTTATATACCTAAACTTTGGGATTTATGGTACTATACTATATTTGGGTCATGCAGAATTTTGTCCATCAGCAGCATCACAACTCCCAGGCAGTTTGGATGGAAGTTAGACTGTGGGGTTTAGGATGTTAGGCTAGACCTTCACGCATTTGGGGTTCGGCTGCTGTCCGACAAGTTACCTATAGTCTCCGTTGTAGCTCCTTTTTGGGGATGCCTTATAAAGCCCTTAATCTTAATATATTATTGTTTAAACCAAAAAAGGAACTACAATGGAGACTACAGGTAAAGCCCCAAACCCTAAACCCTAAACCCCCTATAGTCATTGTAGTTCCTGGTTAAACCAAAAAAAGGAACTACAATGGAGACTACAGGTAGAAAATGAGTGATTCTCGAGGAGCTGGCTGCTGCGCTCTCCAGGGTTCGCTTCTACCCGGGCTACAAGGACCCCGGCTCCTCCGCAGCTTTGACAGAGTGAGGGTTTAGGGTTTAGGGTTTAGGGGCTGTTTTAGGGCTTTAGCGTTTAGGGTTTAGGGGCTGGTTTAGGGCTTGAGGGTTTTAGGGTTCAGGGTTCAGGGTTCAGGAGGTGCGTTCGTTGCTGTTGAGCGCTTCCTACGAGACCTCTGCAAGCATATGTCTTGCAACAGGATTTTGGAGAAGAGACAGCAAGAATTTCGAGAAGCCGTCCTGTGACTTTGTTCCCAGGACAAGCTCAACAGCAATGTCAAGGTGCTACCCAAGGACCTTGGCATGAAACGTGTGCGTCAGGATCGTGCTGCGGGTTGTGGTCGAACGCCCTACTGTCAGTGAAGACACGTACAGCATCCCAACGTATTCTGGGCCCTGCCTTTCTTGCTTCGCCGGAGAGAAATGGACAGCACCCGAACAAAGCAAGCACCAAATCCCTCACAACTCTTAGAAGAGACTGAAACACGTTGAAGCACCGTCATGCTACAGCCTGCAAGAAAGGAGCGTTGGGCTGCACTGGAAGCTTTGCTGGGAGCACCTTTGCTCCTTGACACCGAGACAAAGCCCTACAGGCGAGATCTACTGAGATCAGGGGACTCAGTGGCTTAGAGTTCACCCTAACCTTCCAGGTACCTACTATATCGGGCCCTAGGGGCTCTAGTACCCTTTTTCGTAGGTACCTGGGGGGTTAGGGTCAGGTTTAGGGTTGTAGGGCTATAAATTACCAGACAGGTAGCTACACTCCTAATATCGTCTAATTCAAGTACTTACACGGCCTGGTGTTTGGGGCTTCTTTAGAATGAGGGACCTACCATGTAGGGCCGCATGGGTAGTTCTCTAAGTTAGGGTCCCTTGTTCGGTCCACTAATTTCAAGAATAATCCTTAACCTAGGAACCTAAGCCCTAAAAGCCTAAACCCTAAACCCTAAAAGCCTTAACTCTAAACACTAAACCCCTCCCCACGTAGGGGCTTTCAGGGCTTTCCGGGGATGGGGGAGTTTTGATTGGGCTTCGTCTTAAAACTGAACGTAGGATATGTCGGGCTTAGTGTTCCTTAAGAGTTTAGGAAGTTAAGAGTTTAGGGATGTAGGGTTAAGGGTTTAGGGTTTAGGGGTTAAGGGATTTAGGGATGTAGGTTCCAGGGATTTTGGGTTTAGGGTTCAGCGGTCCAGAGTTTAGGGGTTTAGGGTTTCGCTATTTTGTACGGTGCCCTCAGCATGGCAGTACCATGACTTGTACGTGTAGAGTTATGGCGGAACTGTTAATTAGAATCACACTGCCTAGTTTCTCTACTTCTGTTTAGCGAGCTCCCGCATATAATATTGTGTAGGTTTAAGCTTTTAATTTAGGGCAATGAGTGTTTTTGAGGTCGGCGTATGACTTCTGTTCAGGCTCTTAATTCTTGAGTTCATGTCTACGTTGCAGAGAACACGAATGAAGATGTGGATAGTTCTCTAAATTGGGGCCCCTTTTCGGGTCCTCTTTTATACGGGTGCCGTACTATTTGCGGGACCTAAAGAGGAACCCTAATTCAGAGAACTACCCTGTCGCTGCCTCCTCAGATCGCACCGCCGATTACACCTCTAGCCCTAAGCCCTCAACCGTCAGCTCCACGCCTACTTTCCCCACACCCGAGACCCTGAACTCAGCCCAGCCCGCACCCCTCAAGCCCAAGCCGTCCTCTCCTGACTTCCCTGCCCCTAAACCCTAAACCCTAAACCTCTAAACCCTAAACCCTAAGCCCTAAACCCTGACTCTGATGTTAAGACTTCCCTGCCCCTGAACCTGCCTTTCTCCCCTGACAACTCGAAGCCTAAACCCAAAACTCCACTACAACCCGATCTCTCCAACCCCAAAACCCGAAATAACGAAACCCGAAAGACCACCCCCCCAGACAATTTCGGAGCTAGGGTCCCTTTTAGGGGTCCGTTTTATAAGGCCGTACTATATTTGGGGACCCTAATTTAGAGAACTACCCTTAATCATATCCTCATAGAAACCATACGTATAGAAACCCTTAGAGATCCCTTTAAGGAATCCTAAAACGAGGACCCTAATTTAGAGAACTACCCCTACTTATGTCGCTTTCTGGCAGGCCCTTAGCTGAGCTGCCTGGCTTCCTGCCCCTCGCTTCCTGGCAGCCCTGTGGAGAAGCAAGCGGGGGTACGAGGCAGGGTGGCTTGCTCTTGGGTTGAGGGTTTAGGGGTTTAGGGTTTAGGGTTTAGGGTTCAGGGGTTTAGGGGTTTAGGGGTCTAGGGTTTAGGGGTTTAGGGTTTCGGGGTTTAGATTTTTAGGTTCAGGGGTCTTGGGTTGAGGGTGTACAGGTTTACTATAGAAGCCCAAACAAGTACCAATATTATTCCTTAGGTTACTTGTTATAATCTCTTCTAGTGATTAAGGCCCCCACAGTAGGTGGTCAGGCCTTTGGGGTTTCGGGCTTAGAAGCCAAGGCTAGATACTTATCCCTTTGGGTCCCTCTACTGTGACAATCCTTCCCACATATGCCGAACCCTAAACCCCAAAAAACCCCAAACCCCAAAACCCTAAACGGACCTTAGGGTTTTGGATGTACGGCCCGAGGGTTTCCATGCGGTCTGCTTTCGGGGTCAGGGGTTCGATATTGGATCGTGTTACGGGGCGTCTACATTGCCCTTACATGAGATCCTTCTGCTTACGCAGTCCAAGCCGCAACTAGTTTAAGGATTAGGGTTTAGGGTCGAGGCGGGTCTTGACCCTGAAGCCAAATCTCACGTGAAGCTCGGGCTTCGTTCTTGCAATCTGAAAACAAGACTGGATCAAACACTGCAGTCATACCCGACACAATGCCGCTCTGAGACTCTAGGAGTACTATGGACCCTGAACCGAGCCATACTAACAGAGTGGCGGAGTATAACTATCACGAGTTAATTGCTTAGATCCCCGAAATATTGTTGTTGTTCTGATGATTGCTACAATGCTTCAGTTTTATCTGGACCCTAAATGTAGCCTTATCTGTGTAACGTAAGAATGCGGCGATACCTAGCCTTCCCTAGCCCCCTCCCCCTCCCCTCCCAAAATCCTTTGGCACAACGGTCCTAGGGAGGGCCTGGCCCAGAGTATAGAGGTTTTAGGGTTTAGGGGTTCCGTCTCCTTCCAGGCGGGGCTTCCGATGTGACGGACTCGTCTTCGCTTCCCGCCTTCCAACCGGTGGCATGGACCTCAAGTGGAAGGACGGCTCGAGGTTGAGAGAGCTTGATTGGAGGATGAGGGAACTCAGGAAGCTGCCTCTAGGTATCTTAACCCGGGCTATGTTTGAATACCTTTAAGACTTTAGAACGTCTTATTCGACTATACGGTACTTATCCTTGTTATATCCCAACTCATTCAGTTCACTAATACTTAAGTGTGGCTGAGGGTTGCCTCAGGGATCTTGATATAGTAGGAAGCATGTCATCGTTATCACCCAAACCCTATTCTGCTATTCTAACTCGTGAGGCCTGCATTTGAAAGCCCATATGCCTAAGACCTCGTTTTGGTCACTTTTTCCCATACCATACCTAGACCATCCCAGACCCCGGATTGTAGTATTATTTTCTTTCCAAAACCTAGCGTTTGCGTTCGGACCCGTCAATCAGATCGTAATGGAAGCAGGACAGGGAACTGCATCTCTTGGCACCACCTACAGTACTATAGACTATTTCGCCGAGAACCAGTATCCCTTTCTCAACATGTGCCGGGCTGAAGAATGGTTCGTGCACGAGTACCGACTGGAGATCAGAACCTAGCCAAGAAGATTGCTTCTGGCTGCGATCATGCTGTTCCCACGGCAAAGTTCCGTTTTATGTAACAGCACCCCTTTTACAGTTGTGAAAATTTAGCAGGTAACGTGTGAGTATATAAATTTAGGCCCCATATTCGTTTGGAGCACTGCCAGCAGGAGAGCAGAAGCATATCTGCGGACTTTCTGGTGCGTGGACGGTGCTGTGGCCTTGCAAAGCAAAACCGTTTCGCCGATTCAAGATTTATGTTTTCTGGGTGGGGGTTTGACGGGGTTTGGGGTCCCGGGTGTAGGGGTTTTGGTATCTGTCGTTTGGTTTGGGGTTTCTTGGATGTGGTGTTTTGGAGTTGGGGCCTTGCAAACTGGCGAATGATGCATGACAATCCTGTTTCACATCGTATCGTAGAGCACACACATCGCAACCTTGGCCCCGCAGCATGCTGCCAAACTTGGGGGATCATGGGTAGTTATAAGGGGGGTTATAAGTCCCCTGATATGAGATATAACTATCGTTACCTTACTTATAACCCCGCTTATGAGTACCCATGAACCTCCAAGAACAAGATCTCATGAACTCAACAGCCCTGCAAGGCGCCCTGGCAGTACATCGGGCAGTACGGCGACACCCTTGCCGCTGCAGGCCTTCTGTCTGCCTCAACTCCCTCAAACCCTCAACTTTATGGGCCTAGGTTCCGGCTCATTAACTAAGAACGGATGAGGGGTTAGTCTAAAATTAGGGCGGTGCAATTTTGGATAGCAGGGATGTGGAGTAGGTATAGCCGGACACGTGGCCAGACAACGTGAAGCACCACATGAACACACTGCGTGGTCTGAGTCTTATCAGACTCGAACGCAGTGTCGACAATCGTAACATCAGCACAAGCACTCAGAAATTGAACAAAAGCACCGGGTCGAAGAGAACCCTAAACCCGTAAACCCTAAACCCTAAACGGTGTTCGTCAGTCACATGGGAATGTTGTGAGGAACCCCAACCTGCACACCCCGAACCCCTGTTTCCCAGAGCTTCTTCGTTTGGTCTCATCCCCTGCACTCCTTGTTGTCCCGAAGCCCAAAAACCTCAAAGCCTAAAGGGCTCAAGCGCCTTAAACCGAAAGCCCTAAACGGGCCTAAACCCCCAGAAACCCTATAAACCCCAGACCCTATAAACCCTAAACCCTATAACCCCTATAAACCCTAAACCCTGTAACCCCTAAACACCATAAACCCTCAACCTACCAGGTCTGGTGCCCCAGCCGCCAGGAGCACGTCGCCTTCGAGCCAAAGGCCCCCACCACACATGCACCTGGCTTGTTGTAATATAGGTGTATATAAGGGTTTAGGGTTTCGGGTTTAGGGTTTTGGGTTTAGGATTTTGGGTTATGGGTTTAGGGTTTTGGGTTTAGGATTTTGGGTTATGGATTTAGTGTTTTGGGTGCATATTACAGGGGTCTGCTGACTGATTGGTAATAATAGTCTATAACAGTATTCCTTATAGTGCCGATGATGAGTTTGTAGTATACTTTGCCTTGCCGACTAGTTAGTAACACTGTATTTATGGCATTCCTTAAGGGTTGCATTTATGACGGTAGTATGATATTTGGGTCTGCCTAATAATTCGCAAGGACATTCCTTAGTGCTCCGATTATGATATAATATGCCTTCAGCAACCTCACGCAAGCTCACCCGGAAGTATCCGAACTGGACGCACCCTAAACCCTAAACCCTAAACCCTAAACTCAAGCAAGAAGTTAGACTCGGGCTCAGATCACGAGCAAATCAGGCATTTGTAGATGATGGAGCTCTCGGAGCGAGGAGGGTTGGGTTGGGATTGAGGGTTTGGGTTTTTGTTTGAGCTTATAGGGTTTATAGAAGTTTATAGTGTCTGGAGGCTTTTCTATACAGGGTTTATGACTGCCAGTGTTGTTGCTGAGTTGTACGGTCTTCGCCATTCCACAAGACATTCAATGTCTACCTACAGTCTCCATTGTAGTTCCTTCTTGGGGATGCCTTATAAAGTCCTTAATACATCATTGGTTAAACCAAAAAAGGAACTACAATGGATACTACAGGTAGTTTCTGGGCGGTTGCTGGAGGGGCACCACAAGGGGTACTTTTAAGCTACTTTAAGGCACGGGTTGCCAAGGGTACCTTCGAATCCTTATGGGGTATACCCAAAAGGAACACGGAAGCCTAAAGCCCCAAACCCGAAACCCTGAAACTCCTGAAACCCCTGAAACCCCTGAAACTCCTGGAACCCCTGAAACTCCTGAAACCCCTGAAACCCCTAGATCCCCAAGCCCCCCAAAGCCCCCAAAGCCCTGCAAAGCTTTCGCTTCCGCAGCTCAGGAGGAAGCCTCGGTACCGGCCATGTGTGTCCTTCCTGAGGTCGGAGTTGGGGGGCTGCTCTTTTGTGTGTGTGTGTGTGTGTTTTAGCTTCTTTTTTTCCGAGCGAAGTTGTTAGGGTTGGGGTTACCTGCTTAGAGGGTTCATAGTGTAGGGTTTATAGTTTGTTTTTTTTACCGGCATTCGTGGTTTTTAGGATCCAAGAGGGTCCACATATACTACCATTACGGAATGAGGGCCTCAAGACCATGATAGGGTGGCCTTTTGGGATCTAAGTCCATAATGGCAGTATATATGGACCCTCTGGAGTTGTTCCTCTAGGGGAAAGTCATGGTGCTACTTTGGGTTTCTTTTCAGGGATCGGAGGCTGGTGCGTCATGTTTTGTTTGGATGTTGGCTGTCAGCGTTTTTGGATTTCGCAGGTTTTGCAGCATTCGTGCTGGGTGAGTTTCTCAGTGTTTGGCATGCTTCCTGATACCTATGCAAGCCCTAAAAGTCTGCCCCTATCGTTTGCATGTTACGATTGTATTACAATCCCGAAAGCTTTGTTCTGTCTATGAAGTCCCTGTATTGGTCCCTAAAGAGCCCTAAACCCCAGGGTTTAGCCTAAGCTTGAGCCTGGGCCCAGGGTGCCGTGGACGACTGCCTGCTCTCCTGGGAAGCCATCGCTGAATTTACTCTTCAAGGCAGGATCACAGTGGTTTATCATACTATCGGAGCCTGATTAAGAAGCCCTGGGCCTTCCTGTAGGGTTTAGGGTTTAGGGATTTAGGGTTCTTAATATGAACCCGAGGATATTGGGGTTATAGGGCCAGGGTTTCTTAAGCAGGTTCCTACTTAAAGGCTACTTAGGATTTAGGGTTTGCGCGGTTGTTTTTGCCATGGAAAGTGTGGAGTCTGGGTCTCGATAGGGTTTGGGGTTTGGGGTTTAGGGTTGGGGGGTTGCAGGGTTCAGGGGTTTGGGGTTTAGGGGGTTAGGGTTTAGGGTTTAGGGTTGGGGGTTGGCTTCCGTGATGGCATGATGAGTCATATGGGCTAGGGTTTCTGGGTGCAGGGTATGGCCCTGATTAATGAACCCCCCTGTCCTTATTCTTCCGGTACTCGTTAGTCTGCTCCTGGTACAAGGCTTATCAATCAGCCGAGGGCGAGGGCATGAATCTACATTCTTTTGAAGGTCCTCTTTGTACGGTTGTCATCAGAATCAGTACTGTTGCTACTCTGATGTTTCTCGCGGTTGCCGTTTCTTCTTGAGATTGTCAACAGTGCGACGAAGGGGTTTGCAAAGCAGCCAGGGACATCTGGAGAGCATGCGAAAATCAGAAGCCTCAAAAGCGCTAAACAAGGGATATTCCCGACAGACCATGGCTTTCCTGGAAAAGCCTATGCCTCAATCCAAACCCAACTTACATGACAAATACCCTAAACTCAACAACCTGCATGGACCGATACACCCTAAACCCTAAACCCTAAACCTTAAACCTAAACCCTAACCCTTTCCTGAAATACCAAGAGCCCTAAACCGAAGCCCCGGTGGCTCCAAGGCCCGACAGCCCTGCAGCCCTGAATCGGCAAAGCCCCAGACCTGCAAAAATCCCCAAGCCGTCGAGCCCTAAAGGAACATCCGAAGCCTCATAGACACTCTTACAGCACCCCGTAGAACCGGTAGGTCACCCAAACAGAACCTAAACCCTAAACCCTCCACCCCTAAACCCTAAACCCTAAACCCTTAAACCCTAAACCCCTAAACTCTCCGCCCCTAAACCCTAAGCCCCATAAGCCCTGCTTAGAGAACCCCCTTGTGTGGACCCCATACGCCCGCTTTTAAAACCCCGGAAATGGGGCAGCGAAGCCTAAACCCTAAACCCAAGTGCACTTAAAAAAAAAAACACCTAAACCCTAAACCTTAAACCCTAAACCCTAAACCCTAAACCCTAAACTCTCCACCCCTAAACCCCTAAACCCTTGAACCGGAAGCTGAGAGGCGGCCAGTGGATCTTCCAGCGCTTGCGGGCCGACAAGGCCCCAGACCTGGGGGCGAAGCTTCCCAGGGGTTTAGGGTTTATAGGGTTTAGGGCTTAGGGTTTAGGGTTTAGGATTTAGGATTTAGGGTTTAGGGTTTAGGATTTAGGGTTTAGGGTTTAGGGGTTAGGATTTAGGGATTAGGTTTTAGGGTTTAGGATGTAGGGTTTAGGGATTAGGGTTTAGGATCTGGGGCTTAGGGGGTTTATGGGGTTGGGGGTTTATGAGGTTGGGGGTTTAGGGGTTTATGGGGTTTAGGGGTTTGAGGTGTTGGGGGTTCAGGACTTATGGGGTTCATAGCGTTTAGGGTTTTTGGGCCATCTGGGGTTGAAGGTTGAGGGTTTCAGGTTCAGGCGGTTCAGGGTTTAGCGTTTAGAGTTGAGGGGTTTAGGGGTTTAGGGTTGAGGGTTCAGGTTTAGGGTTGGCTTGCTTCTTGAAGAGTTCATGCCAACTGTTGGGTTTCCCTTCTTGGCAGGACAAGTTGAGTCCCAACAGCTTCAGGTGCATGCGAACACTTCTGAGACCATTTCCTCCATCCTCGAGCTGGCGAAATCACCCATCACCCCGGAGGACTGAGCATGGGCCTACTGGTATCACCACTACTACAACGACGACGACTACTGCCACTGATGGCTACTGCTACTGCTACTACTGTGACTTTACTCCTGCTGCTGATGATGCTCTTGCTCCTTCTGGCGGCCTCTTCACGTAAACCTTCATGTTTTTAGCTCCACCATATCGCATAGAGGAGTTTGAGCTCCGAGTTGTGTTAATCTGGTCACTCTGGTCCAAGTTTTTCATTCACACAGCTGCGGAGGGTAGTTGAGGGTGGGAAAATTAGGAGGGACTGTTCCTGGCTTCTGTCAAAGGCTACTGAAGCCCACGGAAGCCCGACACCTCATGTAGTGTTGAGGCCTACAAAAATTAGCTGCATTGTTTCTTGGTTCTATTACCAGAGTAGAATGTACCCCCCATAGCCCTATTCCAACTACTGAGGCCCCTATACTGCAAGCCCTATGGGGGCCTTCTCCTCCATCCTGCGAGGACTTGGTGGCATCGTGCCGGAGCTTGCCCAGAAAAGAAGTAGAGCCGCCGGCTCAGAGCTAATATAGGGGCCTTGATAATTAGAATAGGGTTTGGGGGTATATTTTACTAGAATTATAATAAGGAACCCCCCCACTAAAACTTAAAAACCCTAGTCTGATTATTAAGGGCCCCATATTAGCTTCGCCTCGTTGGCTCGGCTTGGGGTTTAGGGTCTAGGGTGTAGGCTCAGAGAAGGGTATCGCCTGAACCCTGAGGGCCCACAGACCTAAACTGATACGCAGTTGCCAATGATCTGCGCGTGTCATGGTCCAGCCCTGAAGCTTTACAACACGGAAGCCTGCCCGAAACCCTAAACTCTTCAAGCCCAAACCCCCTGCTCTCCGCACCTTAGCCCCGCCAAGCCTATCTTTTCAGTTACATATGGAAGGCAAAATAGCGAATCCTGAGGAGCTAGTCCTATACCACTCCCATGCTATAATTTTCTTTTACTATACTATTTTTTTCTTCTACACTATATTCTTCTTACTTTACTGTACCATACTATACCATACTATACCATACTATACTATACCATACTATAGTATACCAGACAATACTATAGTATGCTATAGTATTTTGCTCTACTATACTCTACTATCGTATTTGCTTTACTATACTATACTATACTATACTATACTATACTATACTATACTATACCATTATGCTCTACTATGCTCCTTTTTTTCCCAGGTACTACAGCCCTGTTCCAGACGACCTCCGCACCGGACCTCAGCTGCGGGCGCTCTGCGAGGCCGGGACCAGACCCTTCGATGCTTCCAAAGAGGGCTTAGGGTTTAGGATTTAGGGTTTAGGGTTTAGGATTTAGGGTTTAGGATTTAGGGTTTAGGGTTTAGGGTTTAGGGCTTAGGGCTCAGGGTTGAGGGTT